ATCACCAGGTGTGACCCAAAAAGAAAAATAAAATAAAAAGAGTATCAGGTCTCAGGAGGTAAGGAAGTGTCTAAGATGTAAGTCCCTTTACGGAGCTTTGATACAAATGCTAAGATTTAGGCACTGTTTTGAAAGCTTTATCTGTGGTTTTGTATGTCATTCCTGACATGCAATGATAGCACTGTAGCACTGTCCTCTCATAGTTCATCGATTTACTCAAGCGGGCCCAGTAACGTCTCCATTGTGAGACTTGTTGTTACTGTGTTTGGCATATCGAATATGTCACAGGTAGCTTGCCAGGCTTTGCCACGAGGGCAAGATACTCTCGGTAGCTTGCCGGGCTCCTCGAGAGGGGAGGAGGAATCGAACCTGGGCTGACCAGGTCGGCCACGTACAAGGCAAACACCCTACCTGCTGTGCCATCGCTCCAGCCCATGCAATGACAAAGTAAAGAAAAATTATATAAAAGAAAGTTAAGTCTCCCAGCACATAAAATTTTGTCCACAGTCCCCACAGGCATACATGAGAAGACTCTGCTTTGAGAAGACACACACTTTTAGGATGATTAGAACATTAAGTTATTGTGGTGGTGCTGATTTCAGCCATGCTTGTCCCCTAAGGGAATCCAAAACAATGTGCTCCCTTGCTCTTTGCCACCACAGAGCTTTTCCAGAGACAGATCAAAATCCTTTATAAGCATTCCAAGAGTCAGCAAGCCTCACAAGAGACAGTTGTGACACATGTCATAAATTTATAGCAATGCCATCTTCAAGGCCACCCTCCAGTGATTCTTGGTGTTTTATCAAGTCCTACCCATGGGGTGTCCACTGATACCATAATGAAAATCTGTAGCTTCAAAATTCCTACAAGGGAAATGCAGAAAGTGTCAAAGAACACAACAGGCAACTTTCTCAGAGGTGGTCATTCCTGTATGTGAACAAGAATAAAGACTTTGCAGGGGTCGAGATACTGTTCCATTTGCTGCTTTCTGAGTGCATGCACAGAAAATCACGCATATATTTTTTTTTTTGGCAAAATTGAGATTTGGATCATGTCCTGAAGTTGAAAGATCATGTCTCACTGTCAGACAGAAGGACAATGTCCAAGACAAGGACACTAAGTCCTGCCTGAGTTTCTCGGGCCCTGTCTCTCTTATGCAGAGACCAGCATCCTGCAAACACAGTCTGGAAGCTTCCTTCAAGCTTTAGGTCTGTAAATGCCCAATTATTTTCACATGTGCAAGCAACCAAACAGCTCCAAGAAAAACAATTTCAATAGCTTCTTAAGATTGTTTATTCCTATTCTCTTACTGTCTTCTGCTTATCTGCATATTTTGAGTTACTTCTCCTCTCTGAACCGCCCCCCCCCCCCAGTCTGATGCCTTTTCTCCTCTAGCACTGTACCGCCAAACGAGCATCAAACTAGCAAATGAAGCAAAGAGCAGAGGGACACTGGCTGTCAGATCAGGAAACTGTATAGAGGCTCCAATTACATTTTTCACTCTCATATATTTTTGGTGAGCTGTGTAGTAAACAGTGGGGAAGTAAAAAAAAGAAAAAATATATTTTAAATAAAGAAACATGAGGAAAAATTAAAATTTATAATGCATTCACCAAGCTATTAATTTCAATCTCCTGTTGTCAATATATGCACTGAATTTCACTTATCAAATTGGCAAGAAAAAAATTAAAAGTATCTGAATTGAGTGTAATGAAGAATGTGCCCTGATACTCTTGGAACGAAGAATTCTTATAGCCTTTTAGCTGATAATTTAGTATCATTAGCATTATTTTTCTGTCTCAATTTTAGAATCATTAAGGGCCATAATGCTTTTACGGACTTAAAGGCCATAATCCTTTACCTCACTGATTCTACTTCTAGCAATTTATTCTAATAATCAAAGATATGTAGAAAAACATGTCATTTATAATAGGAAAAAAGTAGAAAAGCAGGGGTAAGGCTAATAGGTTATGCTATACCCACACAATAGTCACTTTTTAAACTCATGCATAAAAAGATAATTATATGAGAAAATGGCCAAAATATACTCTATGACAAATGTAGAATATAAACTTAATATAAAATATAGAGATAGCACAGCGGGTAGGGCGTTCGCCTTACAAGCGGCCAACATGGCCGACCCGAGTTCGATTCCTCCGCCCCTCTCGGAGAGCCCGGCAAGCTACCGAGAGTATTCAATATGCCAGACACAGTAACAACAAAGTCTCCAGTGGAGACGTTACTGGGCCCGCTCGAGCAAATCGACGATCAACGGGAGGGCCTTTACCTTTACCTTTACCTATTACTATTATAAATAAATTTTATTCTTGGAAAGTGACTTGGTAATGTCTCTATAAAAATTACATTTATAAGACTACATACATGTTGGTAGCCATGTAAATGTAATGAAATATCAAAACATATACATATATTTATTTACCTTTTAATTCATTAACTCAGGTTTTGGTCATCTAACCTGAGGATTCAACTTCAACAAATGCAATGATGTTTGTCACATAATTATCAATTTGTTAAAAGTTAAACATTTTAGTCTCCTGCCCCTGCGCCTGGCTGTTCCTCGCCGGGGTCCCTTGGAGAGGAGCGGGTTGAGCTTTCCTCCCCGCCCCGACCAGGGCTCCGGCAGCCGAAGACCTCCAGGACCAGCCACCACCATGCTGAGACCACTCTCCGCACACATGAAGGTACTGGCAGAGGGACAAAGCCACGCGGGTTCCGGGGCCGAGATCTCCAAGCCTACTCAGATTGGAGTCGAGCATCCTCCACCCAGATCCTCCAAATTCCAGTAGGCGGGGGTCATACCCACCACCTGGCCCCCTGGCGCCGTGTAATCCCATCAACGGCCAAGACTCAGAGACTATAAAATCCAGCTCCCGGAACCGCGCGGCCGCGACATCTTTTTATGACATCTTATTATCTCATTCCTACTTTGGACAAACTTGCAGGCTATCGAATGTAGCCTGCCCACAGGGCAGAGTCTGGCAAACTCCCCGTGGTGTACCAAATATGCCAAATACCAGTAACAATGATGGGTCTCATTCTCCTAAAGAGCCTTGAATATAATCTCAGGGCTAGGATGAAAGAGACGTTACTGGGGCCTGCTTGAGGCAATCGACGAATAACAGGATGATGAATGAATGAATGAATGAATGAAACATTTTAGTAAAGCAATGTTTGTGCAAACGATGATAGGAAATAGCTGTTACTAAAAGAGCAAGGAAGAAAATGCAATACTCTGATATATTGGTAATTTGATAGATTGGAGAATAAAAATATGTTTGAGGAAAATAACTACAACAAAGGAAATACGTGGGGAAAACTTGCAGGTTATAACTCAAAACAACAGAAACTACAAAACAATAATAAGTGGTGAAATAAACTTCGAGTAATTACATTTTTTCTTTAAAAATGTTTTTGATTTGGTGAAATTTTCAATAAATTTTAAAATAAATGCCAAAATGCATGTTTTGTGGAGGCAGGAAAATGATTTGGAGGACTTGCATGAATGTTTTATATGCAGGAGTCCCTGGTTTAAAACTTCACACAACACAGTTCCCTGAGTACAACAGGGAGCAGCCCCCAAGCACTACTGGGTAGGGCCTCAGCCCCACCCCCAGTGAAAAATAAATAATTAAGTAAATAGTTTAAGTTTGAAGCATTGAGAAAGAGAACTAATCATAAGTAAAACTGAAACCCAACGTCTCAGTTTAGGACAAATGAAAAAGTGAGAAGGACAGGAAAAACCCTCAAGATGAAATTTCACAGTTTCTCAGAGAAGAAATTGAATCTGAGGCTAAGTTAGTAACAAATATGCCCAGCCAGAACTTGGAATCTTGAAGAGTATTAAATTTGGCCTGGAAAAGTGCTCACTTCTAAGGGAAGAATACTGGGAACTGGGGACAGGAGGCAGTTACTATGAAAGCTTTTAGCATATGCCAATCTGAGTGAAGCTATTGATTTTAACTGAGGTCTGGCAATGGCAGGGAGCACATTCAGGTTCTGCTAATGGCAGGAAAAGAGCTTTCCCCTGGTGTACATTCCCCTGAGTAAGAGACTGGCAAGATGTCCCAAAAGACATCTGGGAGTTAGTGAGGAACAAAGTAAGCGATTGTGTCATGGTAGCCAAATTGGAAAGTTTGAGCAGATGTAGGCAAAAATACCAATAATGTAGCATGAAAAACCTGTTTCAAGGTTATCTAAAGCAGAAATGAATCTGCTAATCCTTGAGGCCAACACAATCATGCTTGGCTAGAGAGAAAAAAGTCAAGAATATTATAGAGATTGAAGCCACTGGCACTACTGAGTCCAAGTGTAAGGTGGAGACCTATATGGAATGTCAAAAAAGGTGAAGTCCTGACTAGGAATGGGGTCAGAGAGATAGTACAGTGGGTAGGGCAGTTGGCTTGCATGCAGTTGACCTGAGTTCCATCCCCGGCATCCCATACGGTCCCCCGAGCACCTCCAGGAGTAATTTCTGAGTACAGAACCAGGGAATCACCCCTGAGCATTACCAGATGTGGCCCCCAAAACAGAAAACAAAAAACAACAACAAAAATAGGAGTTAAAAACAAAGAACAGATCCTTCACCCCAATCACAAATTTTTGCTTTGTATTTATTGAGTTTTCACAGAGGGTTCAGGTCTCCTTGAGTTAATAGGCATGATTTCCATCACAATGAAACAGCACTGAAGCAAAAGTCTGGGGTCACAAAACAGAGCTATGCAAATGAGTTTCACAGTGTAGGACACAAAAGTGTTTCTGCAACTTGCTGCATTATCAAGAGGATACTAAGCATTGAGTGACTTTCATCTTGAGATATTTTATCAGCTAGGGAACGTGATATCTAGCCAAGATGACATATGAAGGCCTCTGGACACAGGACACCGCTACCCAGGAGTAGTTAGGCACTGACAGCATCTGCCTTTAACATTAGATGGGAACGAGCAAGGTAAAGAAGCAGAGCTTGGTTACTAAGCGCTGAAGGAGGCAGAAGAAGAGAGGTGTGACCGTGTCAGCTGACTGCAGTCCATTCCCTGTGAAAGTGCCGCACATTCTTGATTTCTATGCCAGCTTCAGCGGCTGTTCCCAGTGCCAACTGCAGGGGATAGGAGAAATTCCTCGGGTTGTCCAAACAGATACCAGTGATGATGGTGACCAAACTACTGGGCATCTGAGTCTCCAGCCTGGATGAGTTCAATAGACCTTTGCAGAAATCAAGAACGTTATAGAGGTCCCAGGCATCCGAGTCTGAGATGGTCATCCTGGGTCTCACAAACCTCTTGGCCACAAAGGACTGGCACAGAATGGATGGATTTCCCTTCTTCAGTTCATCCTCTAAGAAAGTGATGGCTGCCAGGGCTCTGGGATCTTCCTTCTTCAGGACGTACAGTATGTCAACCACAATCTTGGGAATGATCAGGAAAAACTTCCCACTGGTGGCCAAGTGCTGGACTTGAGGAAGATGCTTGCAGAGCGCCCTGGGGTCAGGGAACAAGTAGGGCGTCAAGGCTGACTGGATCTGGAGTCCCCAGAGGGTCTTTTCCAGATGGACCACTTCCCGTTGCAGCCATAGCTGAACCATGTCTTTGGAAAACCTGACCCTTGGCATTCGCTCTAGAAAGTTCTGAGAGCAGCTTTCTACCCCATGGGGTGCAGTGCTCATGAAGACCCCTGACTTCAAGTCAAACCTCAGGAACCCTCCAGGGAGGGTAGCAGCGAAGTGGCCAAAGCTCCTGAGGAAACAGATGCGCACAGCAGCTTCATCCTGTGGACTGAGAGGCAGCTGGTCCCGCTCTATGGTTGCCCTCTCCCGGGAGAAAGGCACCAGTGGGGGTTGGCACCAGGCCAGGTCCTCAGGAAGCTGTGGGAGTCTGGGCACCATGGGGCCCTGACAGGTCTGCAGAAGATCCCGAAGATGGGGTGACAGGCCCAGGCCTGGTGCCTGAAGGTCTTGCGCTGAAGGGAGCAGGTTCAGCAGCACGGAGAGGTGATCCCACAGGCTGAGTGGGCCCTGCCAGCATGAGCTGAGGAGGTTGTGATTGGTACGAAGCCAACTTAGCATGACGTTGATGGTGGGCAGCAGCCCCTCTGCAGAGAGGATCTGCAGTTTCTGTTGCAGGGGCTGTGGGGAGAGGCAGGGCTGAGGGGTGATGGCATCCTGCCACAGAGAGGATGCGGGAGAAGACTCTGCCTCAGGGAGATTATAAGCAGTGTTCTCTCGGCCTGAGGCATCACACAGAGTAGGGCTCGGTTCTGACAGAAGTGTCTGGAAGCCTCCTCTGAAGGCAGGAGCCGAGGGCAAGCCATGTTTTCCTGGGAGCTTCTGGCTCAGCGGGGCTGGCAGGTTAGCAAAGAGAGTTGTTTTCAAGAACTCGAGGAGATGAGATGGAGTCCTGCATGCCTTTGACTGACCCTGGGGCTGGGTGCCTCTGCTTTGGGATTTGGCCCTACTTTTTTGCACTGCTTCCAGATTCAGGGTTCCACTCTCTTCCTCATTGATTGTGTCTGAGTAAGAAGTCTCACTGCTAGTTTCTGAGGGGGCATGGGCGCTAACAGACCTGTCTTCACCATCATCTGAGTCACAGCAGCTACCAAAGCCGACCTCTGAGGCGTAACCCTCACAGGAATCAGAGGACTGAGATTTGCTGAGGAGGACCCCAGCACAGGAGCTTGGGGTGACCTGTGGCCCCAGCCCAGTCTCTTGTTCCTGTCTCGTGTCACTCAGACTTCCTTTCTGAAGCTCAGCCTGGATTCGGGTGTTGACATGTTGAATTACATGCGAGAAAAGCGTCAAGGTGAAGAAAACAGCTGGCCGATGCCGCTTTGAGCCAGTTTTCCTCAGACTGTGTATACTCATGAGGCAAAGAACCACCATGTGGAAGATAAGGAGGTCAGAGAGAAATAAGTAGCCTCTTGAGGGCTTTCGCTTGGTGGAGGCCTGGTTCACGTCAGATGAGCACGGTCGGTAGAAAAGACAGAGACGGAAGTCATCCAGAACCAGCTGACACAGGGCCATCAAACTGGTGGCTCTGAATTTCCGCTGAGGCTGCAAGAGGCTCTGAAGGTAGAGGAAACTAACCAGCAGCCTTTTGTTATCCCAACACTGCCTCTCATGTGGAGACAGCTTGTGCCCCTGGTTCCTCTTCAGACGACTATATCTTTTTCTTGCCTGGTCATAGAGTCTTTTGAGGTTCCATGCTGCCCCTTTGAAAGGCACTTCTGAGTGGAGGCAACGCTGGTAGAAGTATGTGGCTTCCACATCGTAGTACTTACTCCCTACCAGAGCCCCCAGCTGGTTGAAGGGCATTCCCATGTGAGGGGCCACTGACAGGGCTCTATAATAACACTTTTCTGCCAAGTCTGTGGTGGCCAGAGCTAGGAACTCATTCTGATAGCGGAACAAGTCGCCCAGGTAGAGCAGGCAGCGATGACAGGCCATACGCGCCCACGAGGCCTCTTCCTCCGACGGGGCACTTAGTTTCTTGCAACCAATCAAATGGATGGCTCTGTGAGGCCAGTCGATACAGCTATGTAACCTCAATCCATAATGATTTTGAAGGAACAGAAAGAGATGCTCATAGAACGTGAGGCCACTGTTCAGATGAGCACGTAAGGGGCCTTCCCAAGGTTGGGAGGTGCCCAGGTGTTTTCTCTTGGTCTTCAGCAGCACCAGAGCGACATCTGCATACATTTTCCTCCACAACAGTTCCTCTGCCTTCCTCCCATAATCCACCGGGTATAGAAACATGAGTTTAATGCAGACTTGCCGAACTGTAGCCCTGAGGGCCAGGACATGAGGCTTGAAAACCTCTTTGTGGGCATTTCCCTTTCGAAGGAAAAAGTCGAGACGCTGAGCTGCCAAGCAAACATCCCGGTAGAGGAGTCTGGCCTTCTGGGCTTCTGCTTGGCTTCTTTCCATGGGGTTGGAGTCTTACCCCACGATGCTGGAGCGTGCTTTCTGAGAAAAGGAAGGACAGGAGGGAGGGAGGGAGGACAGAGGAAGAGAAATTTAAATTAAACTAAGTAATCTATCATCAATAAACTGCTACCATGTATTGACATGATAGAGAGCAATTCAATTCATCAAATTAATAATTATATAGACTGATAGATAATTTCTTAGAAAATATTATGAGACAAAATGTGTACTTGGAAATTGTATCTTCAAGATCTAAAGCATAAATTATGAAAATTTTAAAAGATTGGTTTAATATTATCTGAATTTTGCTCTCAAAGATTTTTGATACTATTACATCATTCAAATGAGACTCTTTAGTGTTATCTATGATTTTCTATGAGTGACATAAAATAATAAGAAAAATAATTAAACATATTTTATTAAGTTATAAGGATAAATTATCTAGAAATGTCAAATACATCTGATTCACCAAATATATAAATAGCCACAGAGCTAGTATAATAAGAAAAGCACCTATGATTTATTACTCAGATATAAACATTTCAGAGAAGGAGGAATAGAGACAGAGTAAGGAAGGAATTAGACAAGATCAAGAAGATGAACCAGTAGTTTCCAGAACCTTGAAGATCTCTAAGCCAACATCAGGACATTCTTGGAGAATGTCCTGATGTTGTAATTCATTTATTGTAATAAATAAAAAATAAAAAATAATAATGAATAATAAGTAAAAGTAAAGTAAAGGCCCTCCCGTTGATCGTCGATTTGCTCGAGCGGGCCCAGTAACGTCTCCATTGGAGACTTTGTTGTTACTGTGTCTGGCATATCGAATACTCTCGGTAGCTTGCCGGGCTCTCCGAGAGGGGCGGAGGAATCGAACTCGGGTCGGCCATGTTGGCCGCATGCAAGGCAGACGCCCTGGAGCGATAGCACAGCGAGTAGGGCGTCTGCCTTGCACGCAGCAAACATGGCTGACCTGAGTTCAATGAATAATAATAATACATTATAATGGAGCAATAACACAGTGGATAGGGCATTGGCCTTGCACACGGCCAACCCAGGTTCCATTCCTTTGCCCCTCTCAGAGAGCCTGGCAAGCTACCTAGAGTATACTGCCCGCAAGGCAGAGCCTGGCAAGCTCCCCAAGGCATATTTGATATGCCAAAAACAGTAACAAGTCTCACAATAGAGATGTTACTGGTGCCCGCTCAAGCAAATTGATGAAAAACAGGAGGACAGTGGTCTATTATATTATATATACTATATTACATACTATATTATACATTATTATATAAAATAGTAAATAATCATTTATATAATGATAAATAGAAAAGAAATAGTATTTATTAATACTATTTATAAATACTATTTATTAATATTTATAAATAGTATTTTAATAATAAATAGTAAATAAATAGTCATTTATTATAATAAATGACTAGTCTGAATTTTCCCAATACTGAAAAAATTTGAAAAAAGAAGAATTTACTTACTAATCAAGCACAATACAAGGAGAGATATAGGTTAGGTTAACACACACACACACACAAATACACATTTACATAATAAAATTTGAGTACCTCTCAAAAGTGAGTTAGATGTCAGAAAGTCTAACATAGGGAAAGAAAAAAAAGTTCAAGAAACTAAATTTATTATAGTATTTTGGCACATAAAAACTTCACTTGAAGGATAGGAACAGTAATGACTCAAATAATTTTTATTAGTCTGTTCTCCCTTTTACTTATTCTCCAACCACACCTATTACTTTAGGTAATAGTTCCTGCCTAATCGTGATGGAAAATCTAATTCCTTAGATCAAAGTACTTTGGTTTAAGCTAAGCTCATGGAGAGCCAGGGAAGCGTCTCCCCAGCCCAAGTTTGTCAGCTCTGAAACATGGACAGAAACAAATGTATGCCATTGAAATGGAATGATTCCACTGCAGTTAAACATCTCTAGACTGAATTTTGCCATAGTAGTACATTATCTGAAGCTAAATGTGAGCTATCAACTGCTACACTGCACTTCAGAAGTGATAGTAACCTCATATATTTGCTTACTTTCAGAACTTCTTTCTTTCTCTGGGCATGATTAGAAGCATTTCCCTTAGCCTTCCTGATATACGAGTTCATTCATTATGACTTTAAGCCATGGATCAATCACAGATAATCATTGGAAGATAATCAATCACAGATATTCATTGGAAGCTTAGCATCCACTGGACTAAAGTTATTAGGAATGGAGATGCTTATTTATAAAGGGATACAGACACTCTATTGCACCCTACATCTGAATTAACCAGTAACTGGGCCACTTATAATTCTTCTTATCCTTCTGACTCCCTAACCTTATAATATACCCATTAAACCCTTGGGGTTTCTGGAATCTATTTATTGAAGCACTTGGTTTGACTCAGTATAACTGGCAGTAGTTGGATACACTGCAATCAGAAGACTGACTCGGGCTATTTCCTCAGGGGTATAATCCAGATTGAAGTTACGTAGACCTGCCTTAAGTAAAATGTGCTTCTGTGATTCAAATTATATATACCTTGGATAAAAATTAAACTATAAAAATATTTTATTGAAAATAAAATTAAATCATTAATCAATAAAATTAAATCACTTTTAGGTTAAAATAATATTAATATAATTAATAGCACAGTGGGTAGAGCATTTGCCTTGCACGTGGCCATCCCGGTTCAATTCCTCCATCCCTCTCGGATTGCCTGGCAAGCTACGGAGAATATCCTGCCCAGACGGCAGAGCCTGGCAAGCTCCCCATGGCATATTCCATATGCCAAAAACAGTAACAACAAGTCTCACAATGGGGACATTACTGGTGCCCGCTGGAACAAATCAATGAACAAAGGGAGGACAGTGCTACAGTGAAATAATTATTAAATTATTAAAATTAAATTATTAATACTCTAAATACAGTATTGTGGTCGCTTCCCTGTATTTGCTCAGCACAATATAGATGTAATAAATAACTGGCGCTCTAAAATATAAAGTCACGTGAATTAGAAAATCTTAACATATAACTCTCAGCCCAAAACCCTAAGCAAAAAAAGATTGGATAGGGACATTTCGTCTCTCCTTTAGTCATCGCTGTATATCCTGGAGTAATAGAAAATTTCTAAATTAAAGGTTGTTCATAGTCATCTGGATAAATAGATAAAAAGGAAAAATTCCTACAAAACACAAACTGACAAAATTGGTTACAGAAAAAAAAATCTACAGTTATCTAAAGAAGCAAAGACACTACATTAAGAATTTTAAAACTTTTCTAAAATTTTATTTGAGTCAGATGACTAAGCTCATTAATTCTGTCAAACATTTAAAGAAGAATGGATTGCACTTCTTTGTAAAGTAGAAGAGAATACTTTCCATCTCATTACAGAAGAGTATTATCTGATATAACAAACCAGATGAAGACATTTATAGATCAATGAAATGTAAGAGTTCAGAATTAGTTTCTACATTTATGGGCAAGTAAGTTTCAAAAAGAGAGCTGAGACAATTCAATATGTAAAATACAGACTTTGCAACAACTGAAATGGAACTACTGAACCTATTTTATAGGTGAAAGAACAAAACTGACTTAAAATACTTCATGGTTCATATCTAATAGCCAAAACTAATTTTTAAAAAAAAAATACTCCTAGGAATAATATAAGGGTTAAAGGACATTTCTTGCATGTGGCCAACCCTAATTTGACTCCTTGCATGACCTGCTTCCCTAAGCACTGACAGGAGCAACTTCTGAGCAAAGAACTAAGAAAAGCCCAAAAACAATCAGACAAAAATTCCAAAAAGAAGGCATAAACTCACAATTGGTAGCCTGAGCTTAAACAATGCCTTAGATAAAATATTAATCACTGTATCACTGTATCACTGTCATCCCATTGATTGTCGATTTACACCAGCAGGTGCCAGTAACATTTCTATTCCTCCCAGCCCTGAGATTTTAGCATCCTCTTCTTACTCACCTTTTCCCAGTGATTGGAGGCTCTTTCAAGGTCAGGGGAATAAGACCTATTGTTGTTACTGTATTTGACATATCGAATATGCCATAGGGACCTTGCAAGGCTCTGCCCGCGTGGGCGGGAAACTCTAGGTAGCTTCCTGGGTTAACCGAGAGGCATATATTTATATATTTAAAATACTAATAAGCAGGATATTATTCTATACTGTTTATTCACCCCTCTTGAGAAGTGCATTCATGAACTTAAATGATAATGTTACATTCTTTATGTTCAAGGGGGACTACTTCTTGACACTTGAATAGAAAGATTATAACAAAACATTCCTCCAATGGCAAGACTCTGTTGTCTGATATTCTGGCTCTCCATATGACATTAGAAAGCTTTTGTGTATACCTGATTGAGTGGTGTCTTTGGGAATCTTCAGGGAAGCAGATGTTCTGTGCAGTTTGGAGGTATCATTTCCTAGCAATCTGCAGAAATCATTTGGCACTGTGAAATAAAACAACAGATATTAGAAGATTCAGATATTTTGCCTTTGTTTGTTTTGAAGCAAGTAAATGTATTAAAACACATACACACACCTCAGAAACAGACTTTAATTATAAAATGGTTATTCATACACTAAAGAGTAAATAGATAAACAGCCAGTCTCTTTTATAAATACCACATGTCCAATGTTGAAGATAAGAAAATAAAAACATTTTTTCATTTTTAAATTTATCTTTATATGACAATGTTTCCTGCTATTCAAAAGCATATGAAATAAAAAAGCAATGAATTCTTCCAAAAAAGAGTATTTCATGTCCTTGGGATAAAAAAGAAAAACTTTTAAAGAACTCCAAGTTCAAAACTCACTAATTGAAATTTAAAAAAAAAAACCTTGAAAATGCAATTGCATTAAAAGCAAGAACTAGCAAAATTAAATGAATAAAAAGATCATTAGTAAAGGATATCTATGACATTCTAAAAAAATGACTAATAAAGGTCCTGGGTTCAGAGGGATAGTACAGAAGTTTGAGTATTTGCCTTGTATGTGGCTTACCTGGTTCCAATCCTCAGTACCCCATGTGGTCCCCCAACCCCCACCAGGAGTGATCCCTAAGTAAAGAGCGAGGATTAAGGCCTGAGCATTACTAGGTGTGGACCAACAAACAAAGCAAATAAATGAAATGAGGCCAGAGAGATGCCTAATTTTATCCCTGGTGTTGCAAAGGATGACTGCAAGACACCGCCAGAAATTCTGGTTGTAGCTCTGTGGTACCATGGTATCACAGGGCTTACGCAGAACCTTAAGGAGGAGGAGCTGTCCTTTCATTGTTCATCGATTTGCTCAAGCGGGCCCAGTAACGTCTCCATTGTGAGACTTCTTGTTACTGTGTTTGGCATATTGAAAACTCTCGGTAGCTTGCCAGGCTCTCTGAGAGGGGCAGAGGAATCCAACCTGGCTCGGCCTGAGTCTCTCTGCAAAGGTCCCCCCAAATAAAAAGTGATAACTAGTATAAGAAATATGACTTTAAGTATAGGAACCAGAAAGTTAAACAGCAATGTAGCAGACATTTCAAAAGCAAGGGAGACTCAATAAACATTTGAAAAGACGCACAATCTCTTTAGTCATGAGATTAAAATCACAATGACCCACAAAATCTAACCTCAGGTTGGAAAATATCTGAAGTCTAACTATACCAATTACTTGCACCAGTATTGGATAGGAGGAACTTTTGTACCTGATTGTTTTTCCTGTGAAAGTGATTCAGATATGAAATTAAACAGCCACATACCTCATAATCTAGCCCCTGCACTTTTAGATTTAAATGGTGGAGAATCTCTTACCAGTCGACATAGAAAAATTTTCTTAGATAAAAATAAAACAAGGCAAAACCTGAATATATTCTAATTATATATTTACAATAAATTGAAAAAGTGCAAATATCCAGACAGAAGTAAAATTAATAAAACGCCCAACATATTTTCATGGGGATGGCTCATAACTAGTAGCAAAAGCATCAAGTCAGAAGAAAACAAAAGATGATGGCATTTATAGTAAGGCCCCAATAGGCAAAACTAAGTAATGCATTGCATATGAATGCATACTTGAATAGTACGATTATAAAATACATGAAATCATGAATATTTTAAAAGATAAGATTGTATTTTGGATGAGAGAGTTATCGAGAGGGAGACTGAATCAAAATGTGGATAACACTTTGGATAATAAAGGCTGGTAGGATGTTTGTGACACTAATAATATGTTTAGTCAGTAAGTATTGCATATTATACTTGTGTGTAAATTCCACAATTAAAAAATCTTAATGTATAACCCATGAAAAAAAATCAAGGCCACCAGATATCACGTAAAATTTTATTCTTATGTGTCTAGGCAATTGCTAAGCTAAATAATACAGGACACCAGATATTAGTTTTTCTTTTAAATAGATTGAATTCAGTCACAATGTTCAAAAGTATCAAAACTATTATCTGCGTAAAGGGGAACAAGGAAAAAAGAAAAAGAAAAAGGAGAAAACTCTCGATCATCTAGAGAAGTGATTCCCAGGTATTTGAGGTAAATTGGGGGGAGTCACTCTTCTACAATCAGGAATATATATTATGTAAAATCCCATTTAGTCTAAATTTCATAAGCTTTAGAACTAATGACATCACAAATCTCCTAAGCATATAACACTGCCTTTTTCTTTCTAGTTACAGTGTATTGACAGATTCTTGTTTCAATTTCATTTTCTTCTGCTGGAAGCCCTGAAACTCTAGTTACAGTGAAAGATCAGCCTGAGTAAGCAATAACATTTTTCCACCAATTACTCCAAACTGTTTCTTTTTGAAAGCTCAGTGGTTTTATGAGAGAACTGATAATAATCATCTTTATAACTAACTGATAATTCAGGCGCCATCTTTCAGTAACTACATTCTATGATAAAAATTATTGAGAATATCTGTACTGTATATTTATCACAGGAAAATCCTATATGATAATAAACTTTGGAGGAAGTCCCCAAGACATTTGCCAAGCAAACCCTCTTTAGTGATGGTAACAGGAATGTAAAGCTGTTCCATTGTTTCTGTGATCCACTTCAGAAACCTTACTTTAAGAGTACAGACATACTGTAAAAACTCTAAATTGGAGAAAGTGCT